ACAACATGTAACTGGGCGCTCGAGCGTCACTTCCGCTGCTCGAGCGGACAAGTTGAATTCTGGGTTTTCCAGAACTCTGTTTAAGCTTCAAGCTTGGTTCCAATCAATGCAATTCATATCGTAAAGCTCATGTTCGCACCATGCAACCTTAATCTCTAATATAAAGGCCAATTTTACAAGGTTTGAGCCTCAAATTCACATAATTCCATCTCATAGACTCAACTCATATCAAACTCACTTCATAACTTTAAATCTCTTGTAAACTAGTTTCCATATCATTTTGGATTATGCATGCATGTGAAGTATAGGCCTCATTTTCAACTTAAATAACACAATTGATGATCATCTTCATAAGATTCATCATTATCATGCTTGCATGTGCCAAATGGCCTTCAATTCATCATGAAATGCATGCTTATATTCAACTATGCAAATTCATGGCAATTCTTTACATGCATGTACACATCAACTTCAAATTTATCAAATTCAATTCAATTCATGTTCTTGATTACAATTTTTCTTTGAGTTCATATAATTACAACTCAAATACATGAATTCATATCAAATTACTCACCCAGAGGCCCTAATCTTCACAAATGTAGTTAAATCCTGAGTGTGGCTTCCAAATTCACAAACTTTGAGCCAAAATGCACAATTCTTTCTCTTCCTCCCTCTAGAACCGACCCTCTCTCTCTCTCTAGAGTGTGATTTTCAGATTTTGAGTTCAAAAGGAATGAGGTTAAGTGTAATAAGGCCTTTATATGCGCTTGCCTAATCAAATTTGATTAAGGCTAAGTAATAATGCTTTAATTTAATCATTATGAATCTAATTATTTTGATACGAATCAATTTCTAATTAAATTTTACCATCAGCTCTAAAAATTACGCTAATCACAATGACGTAGTCAATTTCAGTTTCTGATGCCTCTACGGCCTTCAATTTAAATTCTAAAGCAGAAAATCAAACAGATTTTCCTGCGGTGAACAGATAGAAATACAAAGACACATATAATCACATAATTACTACCCAGAACCATATCAAGCATATAATTACAATCATAATTAAAGTCAATTAGCATATAACGAAACAGGGTTATCACAATCTTCCCCTCTTTGGGAAGTTTGGTCCTCCAAACTTATTTTACCTTTGTTTGGAAACAAATGTAAATAGCGTGATCGCATTTCATCCTATTTTTTTCATGTAACGTCCATCCCATAGTGTTCTTTCCATTCTACTTTCACCATCGGGATGGACTTGCTTCTCAACTGTTTTACTTGCTGGTCAATGATTCGTTCCGGCCATTTTGTGTATTTTATATTTTCATCAAGAGGTATCAGGTGATAATCAATCATATGAAACGAATCTCGAAGATAACTCCTCAAAATTGATACGTGGAATACGTTGTGCATTTGCTCGAATCCTGGTGGCAAAGCGACTCGGTAAGCAACTGGACCAAGTTTTTCCAGAATTTGAAACGACCCAACATAACGGGGTAACAACTTCCCTTTCTTACCGAATCTTACTAGGCCCTTCATCGGAGTCACGCAATTAAACACATGGTCACCAGCCTCATACTCAAGAGGTCTTCTTCAAATATTCGCATAGTTCTTTTATCGACTCTAAGATGTCCTGAGCCTTTGTTAAATAATTTTGATTTTCTCGGAAGTGTCTTGCACAATTTCAGGCCCAAGAAAGGCCCTATCCCCAACTTCTGTCTAACAAATTGGTGATCTACACCTTCTACCATACAAAGCTTCGTATGGTACCATACAAAGCTTCGTATGGCGCCATACGGATGCTAGAGTGGAAGCTGTTATTGTATGCAAACTCTATTAGTGGCAAATAATCTTCCCAACTTCCTTGGATATCTAAAGCACACATTCGAAGCATATCTTCTAAGGTCTATATTGTTCATTTTGATCGCCCGTCTGTTTATGGATAGAACGTAGTGCTGAATCTCAATTCTGTTCCCATAGCTTTTTGCAAACTATTCCACAATCTGGACACAAATTTCATATCCCTATCCGAGACAATAGCTACTGAAACTCCATGTAAGCGAGCAATATATAGTAGCCAGCCTATAAGCATCAAATGTAGTTCTAACAGGCAGAAAATGTGCAGATTTAGTCAGTCTACCAACTACAACCCAAATAAAATTCATACCTCGAGGAGTTCGAGGTAAACCAACAACAAAGTCCATAGTCACATGCTCTCACTTCCATTCAGGAATAGAGAGAGGTTGAAGTAGACTGCCTGGTTTCTGGTGTTCAACTTTAACCTGCTGACATTGAAGACATTTGGACACATGCCCTGCAATTTCTTTTTTCATTTTAGGTCACCAATAGCTTTGTTTCAAGTCCCGATACATCTTGTTATTACCCGGGTGCATAATAAATACTAACTTGTGAGCTTCATCTAGAATTCTCTTCTTTAGTTCTGGAACATCTGGGACACACATTCGGTTTCAAAATCTCAACACTTCGCTTTCAATGTTGAACTCTGCTTTCGGATTTGTTTCAAATTCATTGATCACTTTCTTGAGGAACTCATCCTCTTTTTGCCTTTGCTTAATTTCAGTAATTATTGCTGGTTCAGCTGAAATGGCAGCGATTTACCCGGTTTGTTTGTGTAGCACTACTTTAATCTCGGTTCTTTCAAAATCTAGTAAAATTTCTTTCTGTTTAGTAAGCAAACAAGGTAAATTCCCTGTCGATTTCCTGCTCAAGGTATCGGCAACTGTATTGGCTTTTTCGGTGTGATACTGAATTTGAAGGTCGTAATTTTTTATCAATTCAAGCCATCTTCTTTGTCGCATATTCAACTCCTTCTGCGTAAAGAAGTATTTCAGACTCTTGTGATCCATGTAGACTTCGTATTTTGCCCCCATACAAGTAATATCGCCAGATTTTTAAAGCAAATACAACTGCAGCCAACTCTAAGTCACGTATCGGGTAGTTTTTTTCATGTGGCCTTAACTGTCAGGAGCCATAAGCAATTACTCGCCCATTCTGCATTAACACACAACCCAGACCCTTATAAGATGCACCATTGAAAATTACAAAGTTTTTCTGTACCTGTGGGCAATGTCAACACTGGTGCAGTGGTCAGTCTCGTTTTAAGTTCATGAAAGGCAGATTCTATTTCGTTATTCCATTCAAACGGTTGCCCTTTGCGTGTCAGTTAGGTAAAAGGCACAGCTATTTTTGAAAAGTCTTTCACAAACCTTCTGTAATATCCAGCTAAGCCCATGAAACTGCAGACTTCTGTTACATTAGTCGGTGTAGGCCGATTCACAATTGCCTCTATCTTCTGCGGGTCCACTGAAATCCCATCTCTGTTGATGACATGCCCTAAGAAAATAACTTCATCCAACCAAAATTCACATTCCTTTAGTTTGGCAAATAATTTCTTCTCTCTAAGTGTTTGCAAGACAGTTCTCAAATGGTGTTCGTGTTCAAGTCTACTCTTTGAATATATCAAGATATCATCAATAAAAACCATAACAAATTCATCAAGGTAAGTCTTAAAGATTCGATTCATTAGGTTCATAAACGCTGCAGGAGCATTAGTCACCCCAAATGGCATAACAAGAAATTCATAATGGCCATACCTTGTCTGAAACGCAGTTTTCTCAACACCTTCTGCTTTTACTTTCAACTGGTGGTACCCGAATCTCAAATCAACTTTAGAAAATACTTGTGATCCCTGCAACTGATCAAATAAGTCGTCAATACGGGGTAAGGGATATTTGTTCTTTATCGTTACCTTGTTCAATTCACTATAATCAATACACAAACGCAAGGTTCTATCATTCTTTTTCACAAACAGTACCAGTGCACCCCATGGCAAAGTACTCGGTTGGATAAACCCTTTGTCAAGCAAGTCTTCTAATTGTTCTTTCAGTTCTTTCATTTTAGTAGTAGCCATTCTGTAGAGAGTTTTGGAAATAGGTTGAGTGCCTGGTACGACTTCAATGGTAAACTCTATTTCTCTGTTAACTAATTCTCCTGGCAATTCATCTGGGAATACATCTGGAAACTCACTAACAATCGGGATACTGTTCAATTCAACATTCACAGATTGTTCAGATAGTACACAACACAGATAACCCCGACATCCCTTCTTGATCAATTTACATGTTTTCATTGCAGATATCAAATAAGGTAGAGGCACTACCCCGTTACCCACAAACACAATTTCTTCCTGTTCCGGAGGTCTAAATATAACTCGTTTCGTTACACAATCAATGGTGGCACAATAGTTAGTTAACCAATCCATGCCCAGAATTACATCAAAATATCTAAAGTCCAAGGGCAACAAATCTACATATAGAATAGCATTCCCGATACACCTGTCACAAAATCGATATACAGATGCACACAACACAGATTCCCCAGATGGAGCAGATACATATAGCAAATATGGCAATGATTCTAGAGGTCTACTCAGTCTAGACGCAAATGCACAAGGTTACGAAAGAGTGCGTTGATCTAGAGTTAATTAACACAAAAGCATCCTGATTACATATAGAGATAGTACCTGAGACGACGGCTTCAACATCCCGTGTATCGCCCGGAACAAGTGCTAAAACTCTTCCCTGCCCCACGATATCTCCGATGGTAGTTGATCTCATAGTACTTCCCGATTTTGGGATCGATGCGGTGGAGCTAGCAGCGAACTTTCCGCTGTTCTGATTACAATCTCTGGCCATGTGTCCTGTCATACCACACTTAAAACAGGCCCCTGATATACGGTAACAAACCCTACGGTGCCTTTTTCCATACTAGTTGCATATTGGGGATGTATCTCAGGAAGAATTCAAAGTACTTGAGGAGCCCATGTTATATTTCTTTGAAAACTTCTTCTTTGAAAAGAAACCTTGTCTTTTACTTCCTTTCCAGTCAGTTGTTGATTTGGCCTGTCTAGCTATGTTAGCTTCTAATATTATGGCCCGGTCTAGCACTTCGATGTAGGTCTCTAGCTTGAGCACATTCACTTTCTATAAGATTTCATCTCGTAGCCCTCCTTCAAAGTGTCTCGCTTTCTTGTAGTCGGTGTCGACCACATGTGGTGGAAATCTAGCCAATTTAGTAAATTTGGCCTCATACTCAACTACTGTCATGCTATTCTGTTTCAGTTCCATGAACTCCGGCACCTTTCTGTCACGAACACATTGTGGAAAGTATTTGTCATAGAAAATTTCCAAGAACTGTGCCCAACCAATATCCTTATTATTTTCACGCATTAGCATCCACCACCTTCTTGCCTCATCTTCAAGAGTAAAAGTGGCTAGCAATACTTTATGTGTTTCTAGGCAAGGAAACACTTCAAATAACTTTTCTATTCCAAGGACCCATACTTCTGCCTTTAACGGATCCAATCCCCCATGAAATTGTGGCGGTTTCATTTTCTTAAACTCTTTGGTGAGAGATATTATTCGGTCATCATTTTGAAGGTCTGGCACCGGTGGTGCTAGAGCTGGAAGTGGAGGTGGAGGTGGAGGGTGTGGCTGTTGCCATTGCTATTGCCACTGTTGTTGTTGCCTCAATGTTTCTGCCATTTCCTGAATCAGTCTTTCCATCCTATCCATTCTGGTAGTGGAAGACTCCTCTATTTCATCACCTCTTGTTCTTACCATCTGATTAGACTTGCATTGTTCTTTATTCAAAAGATTCACAAGTATGCATATACTAAAGAGCACACATATTCAAATAGTTCGCAATGCAAGTAAATCACAAAACATATAGTACATAATCATTCACTTTGAAGCATTTAAACATGTTCTCGATGTTTTCAAGTTCATACATATTGCATGAATGCATCCTCGATCTTTTGAAGATGCTTATTGCTCATTTAGACAAGTGTGTGGGTTATTAACTCGTGCTCTGATACCACTCTGTCGTGACCCAAACCCGCGCCCTATGGATTAAGATCATAATTGGCCAATAATCAAGAGATTACCTACGACCTCAAACCTGACTAACATATATCGACAGAGTAAAGAGGCCAAAACAGAAGCACCTTAAAAAAAAAAAAAAAAAAAAATTGTCCATAGAGTTGTGCTTACATGGCGCATCATAACATTTCACATATATTCGTTAATAACCCACATCAAAAGGAAGTTAACATATAAGTTTTACACAACAGGATCATTCAAGTCATAGTCAGCCAAACCCAAAACCTTATGTACATGGTGATGCGACATGTTCACCAAAATAACAAAAAAGTAAACTTAAAGAAACAAAACAGTGTCTCGTGCGTGAGACATTCGGGCTGACTCCACAAAACTTAACTTTCCTCATACTTCACCGAGGCTGGGTTTGGACATCTCTTTGCTCACCTACATACACATGAATGAGAGTGAGCAAAATCCCAGTGAATAATATCAAATAAAGAAGATATATGAATGAAACTTGAAACATATACATCAGATGGCCTTGGGCCTATTCATAGTTCTATTTAGTATATTAAATGGCTATAAACCCAAACGTATCTGTAGACACCCATTTTTTACCGACCTTAAAACTCAGACGTCATCGATTGAGCGCTCAGTGATGGTGTATGTTGTGCTCGTTCTGAGGTTTCAGAGTTTCAGCTGAGAGCCTTGCCTTCGGATTTTGGGACTCTTTTGTGCTTTGCCTTGGTTTGCGAACTAGGTTTTGTTTTCTCTTCCCGAAGGGAGGGAGAGGTCTCGTAGACCATCTCTCAGTGGCCGTAGGCTACTTTTCGTGGTCGTAGACCATTGTTCCCGTTTGGAGACCAGTTTCCGATTTTCGAAGCCGTCGGTCGTGCGCCTCGGTTCGGGACCGCTTAACTTTTTCCGTTTGCTCCGATTTTTGGCACACACCTTGTTTCCTCTCTCTAGAGGGACACTGTGGCCCAGGAGACCACCTTCATGGTCGCACGCCATTTTCGATGCTTAACAATCAGTTTTCGAGGCAGCCGGCTGCGCGTTTTGGCCCCTGAACCCTCGTTTTGCATCGGTGTGGGTTCATTTTTGGCATGGACCCTATTTTCATTGTTTGGAAGGTGGTACAAGGGTGGGAGACCACCTTTTCTCCTTGGAGACCACTTTTCTCCCGCCGGTTGGTTTTCTTGTCAGGTAGCTGGTCTCCTTTACTTTTGGGGCACAATTGCTGGTCTCCCACCACACCACTAGCTTATATTTAGTTGGGAGACCACCAAATGGGGGTGCCGACTACCTTTTGTGCATTGACCCTTTTGACCCTGGTTGGCCAGCTTCCCCTTTTTCTGTCTCACTGAGTTGGTTCCAGCTGTGCCAGTTGGAGGGCACAGACTGGATCCTCCATGCACATGTATGGAGGATCTTCACTCTTAGTTTTTGGCTTCTTGAAGAAGCTTTGGACCTCTTTGGCTATAAGAGAGACCCTCTCCCTCATTAGCAAAGGTTCAGAAATTGGTCTTAGGCATACACCATAAATCCCTCTATATCTCTCCCTTTAGGCCTTGAAAGGTTGAGGTTCTTGACCCCTTTGCATAACATCTCCTAGCACAACACCTCCATTATCAATCTAAGCACCTTGGAGCTTGTTTTTAGAGGCTAAAGAGTTGTTTTTTTGGTCCAGAAGCTGCTGGAGTGCTTGAGTGTAACAACCCTCGTCACTGTTTACCGAATAACCACTGATTACCGTTAAACTAAAACTGATTATGAATGATAAGTGAACTGAATAAACTACTAAACTGACTGACTGAAATTGAAACTGAATTGACTGAGTATACCTGTTTAATTGTAATTCTATCTGTTTGGTTATTTGATTATCTGTTCATGTCTTTGTGTTTAAACTGCTAATGGAGGGCCTTATCGGCGGCCGAACCGGAAACCGATTAGCGTTTTATGATCATCATGATTTATGTGATTTTATGGTGTAATTACCTAAAAACTGATTAGGTATGATTAAATTAGATTAAAATGAGTTAAATTGCAAGTTGGCCTTATTCACAATTTTGCCACTTAAGTGGCCTATCATCTAAACATTTGAGCCTCACACACTTGATCACATAGCACACTTCATCAGCCCTTTTTCCTTGTTCTTGCCGACTTAAGAGAGTGAGAGGTGGTGAAAGCTTGAGCTCTTCACAATTTGGGATTAGGTCCGTTTTGTTTACTATACTGTACTGTGCTGTTTAATAGGGATTAGGTTCCTGAACTGAATGATTGCATATATGTACATACTGTTTTGTCTGACTATTGTAGACGCGCCTGCGTGGGCCTCACTACAGTTCGGACTCGATTTGTGTCACGGTTCTTAATCTGAACCAAAGAGTCCAAATCTGGCAAATCGTTTTGAGAAACAGATTTTTGAAAAAGTAGTGCCAAACATGGACTGCTTTGCCAGATACAGAGTCGCCACCTAAATATTTTAAAATGGGAGAATTTAGGAAACCCTGACTCGGTGCCGAAGGCCACATGTCCGTCATCACCGGAGTTGTCTCGGCTCGGGAGCTTGGGTACGATCGGGGAAGGTCAGCTATGAGCACCCCCTCTCGCCCGGTCTGAAGACCGGCCTCTACTAACCGTGATATCCAATTTTGAAAACGCTATGTGTTCTTAAACCAATTATTAGCCTAGAATTACTACGTTATGCGCGCAGCAAACAAGTATAAACCAAATCGCCCAAATTGGAACAAAACATTTCATGTTTGTTTTGAAAATGGTTTGCTACTCGCAAGTAGGCTAAAATGCAGATTTTGCCACCCTCAAGTGGGCTTTTAGAAAAGATGATTTTGCCACTATCTAGTGGGCTTAAAAAAAAAAAAAACTCATAGTCAACGAATTGTTCCAATCCAAATAACCCAACCTTCACCCACAAGCATTCAGGCAGTTATATCACATAAGCATATAGCCTCATGGTAAGCATGCTATTCATGGCAGTCACTCACACGGATGGAAGGATGCTAAAGCATAAAACTTACCGAGTACTCCAAGCCAAAACAGAAGCTTATTAGAAATCCATGCATGATCCTAATTATACAGAAATACCTAATGCAACACATGCAAAAGTGCAACTATAGCAGGCTCGGCTATTCTAAACATGGCATATGAAATGCTACAGCTAACATGTATTCAATTTGGAATTGAAAAGTACAATGTTGAAATACGAGTGCAGTTAGCATGATGTACCGAGCCTGGTGCATGTAAGACAAATGTATGGATGCACGCATGCTAAGCATAAGGTATGCTAAATTAAATATGCCCTAATACTAACCATCGAAAGTAGGTAAGTAAAAGGGAGAAAGAAGTGGGGATTGGAAGACATGCACACACGCACCCACACTTATTACAAATTTGCCCTCGCTCGGAGGGACCAAAAGAATAATACAATTAATTAACTACGAGCTAACTAATTATTACGTCCGTTAACTAGTTAAGCAAATTAACTAATCTAGGAAAACAGTAAACAGCCTTGGGAAGAGGGCCTCATGCAATGTATGCGCGGTTCTGCTCGGAAAGTCACAGCTATGCACAAGTTGCCTCCACTTTGACTGTTATCCTCCTCTGAAGACTGCACAAGTCCCAGGGTTGCTTCTCTGAATGCTTCGGAACATCACCGGCTAAGGGGATTTGCCACCGGCCATGGAGAATGACCACCGGCCTCTGATTGAGATATTGGCCACGGATGGATGGCCGATTGGCACTGCATATGGCCGGTCGGCCAAATCTTCCTGCAAAATTTGTTTTGACAGCAACAGAGGGCAAAACATGGCATGGCAATGCATTTCAAGCAATGTTTGCACCAACCACACTCCTTATCATGTTTATGACTCAAAGGAGGATGGTGCTTGACCCTCGGACCACCAATCGCGCATTTCAATGCGTAATGGCCCAAGAAACCAAGTTGTGCATTTTGATTTCAAATGACATGCAAATCAATTAAACACGTAAAGCCCAACCTTTATCATACTCAATTCAAGAGGCAAAGCATGCATGCTCTATGCAATGCAACTTAGGCATGGAGGCTAAGTATGCAACCTAGGCATGGAGGCTAAGTATGCAACATGAACATGAGGACAAGTATGCAAGTTAGCAAACATGCAAAGTGTAATCTTAACCATGCACACATGCAAGGCATGTAACATGTTAGGAAACTTAGCAAGAAATGCATGCCAAATGCAACACCATTTAAACATGCAACAAAATGTCATGAGCCAAGTACCTAAGCATACAAACATGCATGCAAACATGGTTGAATACCTAAGCATATAGAAGCAACTTTCAAGCACACTCAAAAGGGGCAAACATTGGATACATGATAAGCTTTGAAAAACATGTAGAAGATGATGCCAAATCAACCTACCAATGCAAGCAAAGCATGCATCCAAGCCCAAGGACTTAAACTATGATCATATGACACACGGCGCAAATGATCAAAGTGAATCAAAACAGTC